CTCTCTCATGGGAGGGGGCTGCTGCCACCCCCCAGACCTTGAGCACAGGGGAAAGAGCAAAACCCTTGGGAAAGCACTTGCCGGCTGTGGCTGAGACACGAGAGCACCTACAGAGGGGAGAGGGGAACGTGGGGCTGCCAACGGTCCTCACGTGCCAGGCAGCCCAGCTGCCAGCAGATACGTGGTTGTGTGCCAGGATGCCACCTTCTCCCACCTTCCCTCTCCCTGACATGGAAGAGTCTCCGGCAGGAGGGCAGACAGACGGACAGGCACAGCTCCCAGCACTGCGGCACCGATCTCCTGCAGCACCCCAAAACTCTTCAAAGCCACGAAGGCTGCACAGCCCCAGTGCAGCCGTGGCACAGCCCTGGTACAGCCCCGGCTCTCGCTTCCTCTGCCTGTGTCTATCTCCTCGCTCTCCTCTCCAGCAAAAGGGCTGGAGAAACACCCAAGTTCTGCTGCCCACGGAGCTCTTCCCCAGCACTCCCGTCGGAAAAAGCTGCTCGACGCACTCGGCCATGTACTTCTGTGCTGGGGTTTCTGGCGAGAAAGGCACGGGCCGACGGAAGGCCCAGCCTGGCCAAACGGGCTCCGTTTGGGCACGGGCAGATGAGGTCTGCACGCAGGACGTGGGACGCGGCACAGCTCCGCAGGACGAGCGTGCGGCTGGTCACCCAGGAGCTCGTTCCCTGGTCCCCGTGCGGGGAACAGCAGGGGGCTGCCCGCGCAGCCCGGGACTCGCTCTTAGGGAAAAAAGAGCAGGAAAACGGGCACGGGGAGACAGGGACAGCCTGCAGGCAGCAGCGGAGCACGCAGCCCGGGGCGAAGGGGCTCCATCGCGGGGCCGACCCTGCTGTTCGTAGCTGGAAGCCCCCACCCCGCCCCCGCTGCCTGCAGGTGCCCACGGGGCCGGAGCGGGCATGAGAGCAGCAGGGCAAGGCACAAAAAAAGAGCAAAGACCACATTTACCTCGCAAAAGGGGCCCAAAGTGCGCCAGACCTGGGGAGAAAGAAAGGAGGGGATGGAGAGAGAAGGGGAACCGCAGTCACAGGGGAGAGGGGCGGCGGGAGAGGAGAGGGGCAAAGC